AACAACAACAACAACAACAACAACAACAACAACAACAACAACATCGTAACAACAACAACAACAACAACAACAACAACAACAACAACAACGATGATGATGACGACAAGAACAAAAACAATAACAAAAACAACAATAGATAGCATTTGTATAGGGCATATCCCCGCTCAATAATATCATAGCTACTTAAGTAAATGCCATTGACTTGGATTACAATCGAGTCCGCTTAGGTCGAGCACGGTTAATCCGAAAACAGCGGTACTTGTAAACCGAAAGAAAACATAATCCCCGATTTTAGTTTTTTCTTTTATTTGAGCAAATTCTCTAAACCCGTAAACCCGAATAAGTAGAAGAAAACCCGACAATCTCTTAGAGTTTGATTTAAGCAGACTCCACTGTACATCTCAAAGACTTGAATTATTACTGTATTGTTATCCTAAATTGGCTCTGTGCTCATTCTGCCCATTTATTGGCTCTGTCTTATCGGAGATGGACGTTATTTTGCTAGGTCCCACCTGTCAATGTTGAAAAGAGTATTAAATGTACAGTCAAACTGACTAAGACGGCCATCCATTGTTGAGGGAAAACGTGACCGTCTTACACAGGTGGATGTTTTACATCATCATCATCATCCGGTGCCTTTGTGGACTGGCGTGGGTGATCATGGACCTCCACTTCACTCTGTCTTGCGTTGCAGTGATGTTGTCTGTTGTTCTTGCTGTTCCCAGCCAATCTGTCAACCATAGTATCTTTTCCCTCTGTCGGCTTCTGCCTCTCTTTCCATCAAACTTGCCTGACGTTACAATAGTCTCCCATGTTTCTTTCCGCATTGTGTGTCCCATGAACTTTGCCTGTTGTTTTCGTATATTCGTCATAAGCTATCGTCTGCAATTTGCTTCAACCAAGACTTCTTCGACTGTTGTTCCAGCTGTCTATGGGATACGCAGCATGCGTCTTAGGAATCACAACTCTGTCGCCTCAATTGTTCTTTCCAACTGTCTATTGATTGTCCATGCTTCGCTCCCGTATAATAGAATTGGCTCTGTGTAACTTTTCAATTTCCTTTTTCTTGCCTTCTAGTGACAGACTGGTGTGTTTGTAAGTATCTGTTTCATTTTGTGGAAGGTTGCTTTTGGTTGGCAAATGCAGCTTTTAATTTCGGTGTGACATCTCCCATCTGATATAATAGTGGTCCCCCAAATAGTTTTACATAGTGGCATTATAATGTAGAAAATACAAAAGAAAGGAAATGGGAAGTGGCCGTTTGTGCAGGTGATTGTCGTATACAGGTGGCCTTAGAGCAGTTTCGATTGTATATATATATA